TGGAGGGTAGTAGTATTGGGGTTACTCCCAGTGCCATGAGCTAGTAAGGGGCAGGAATAGGAGGATGGAGCAGATGAATGTGTGGTTGAGAAGGTGGTACAGGGGAGAAGGATTCACATTTTTGGACGGTAAGGAAAAGCCAGGGAACTACAGACCAGTGAACCTGACATCAGTGGTGGGCAAGTTGTTGGAGGGAATCCTGAGGGACAGGATTTACATGTATTTGGAAAGGCAAGGACTGATTAGGAATAATCACCACGGCTTTGTGCATGGAAAATCATGTCTCACTAACTTGATTGACCTTCTTGAAGAAGGAACAAAGAGGATTGATGAGGGCAGAGCAGTGGACATGATCTATATGGGCTTATCTAAATTGACAAAGGCGTTTGACAAGCTTCCTCATGGTAAACTGGTCAGCAAGTCTCGGTCACATGGAATACAGGGAGAACTAGCTACTTGGATACAGAACTGGGTTCAAGGTAGAAGATAGAGGGTCATGGTAGACGATTGCTTTTCAGGCTGGAGGCCTGTGACCAGCGACGTGCCACAAGGATCGGTGCTGGGTCCACTGTTTTTTGTCATTTACATTAATGATTTGGATATTAACATAGGAGGTATGGTCAGAAAGTTTGCAGATGACACCAAAATTGGCGACGTACTGGACAGTGAAGAAGGTTCCCTCAGAGTATAATGGGATCTTGATCAGTTGGGTCAATGGGCCGAGGAGCAGAAGGTGGAATTTTACTTAGATAAATATGAGGTGATGCAGTTTGAATCAGGGCAGGGCTTGTACATTTAATGGTAACTTCCTGGGGAGTGTTGCTGAACAAAGAGACCTTGGAGTGCAGGTTCATAGTTCCTTGAAAGTGTAGTCGCAGGTAGACAGGATAGTGAAGAAGACATTTGGTATGCTTGCCTTTATTGTTCAGTACATTGACCATTGGAGTTGGGAGGTCATGTTGCGGCTGTACAGGACTTTGGTTAGGCCACTGTTGGATATCATTTTCAGTTCTGGTCTCCCTGCTACAGGAAGAATGTTGTGAAACTTGAAAGGGTTCAGAAAAGATTTACAAGGATGTTGCCAGGGTTGGAAGGTTTGAGCTGTAGGGAGAGGCTGAATAGACTGGGGCTATTTTCCCTGCAGCGTCAGAGGCTGAGGGATGATCTTGCAGAGGTTTATAAAATCACAAGGGGCGTGGTAAGGGTAAATAGACAAAGTCTTTCCCTGTGGTGGGGGGAGTCCAAAACTAGAGGGCATAGGTTTAAGGTGAGAGGGGAAAGATTTAAAAAGGACCTAAGGGGCAACTTTTTCACGCAGAGGCTGGGGCGTGTATGGAATGAACTGCCAGAGGAAGTGGTGGAGGCAGGTACAATTACAACATTTAAAAGGCATCTGGATGGATACATGAAGTGTTCAGAGGGATATAGGCCAAATGCTGGCAAATGGGACTATATTTATTTAGGATATCTGGCTGGCATGGATGCATTGGACCGAAGGGTCTGTTTCCGTGCTGTATATCTCTGACTCCATGACTGTATGTTCGGGGATCTGCCCTGAGATGGGTGTGCCCTCCTTGGCTTGATCTTCCATGGAGCTGAGGGTGGCAGGGAGGGTAAAAGTCAAAGGTCCAGGTGCCTGTTCAGACTTTTCTGAGAGGTGCCATCAGGTGGAGGGGACTGTTTGTAGTTCCTCCCCAGGCTTGGTGCCTGCAGACCCTCCCCAATCTCCGTGTGAGGAAGGAGAACCTGGAATTAGGTCAAGGTCCCTCATCTCCCTATCACCTTCCTGCTGATGCTGAGCACTAATGAATGGTGGTGTGCAGATGTGTGTATGTCCAGCAGACTCCAAAACTGCTGACTCTGGCTGTCCGTTGCAGCTGCTAACCTGTCCATAGTAGCAGCCCCACACTCACATGCCTGAGACAGCAGGGTCTGACTGCATTGCTGCAGTCCTGCAGCCTGTGTCAAGTTGCCCTTTGCCCCATGCCCCCAGCAAACCTGCCTAGGGCTGAGCAGGTGCCTGGTCTTTGGCTGTCTTTCTAATGCCAGCAACCTGCGTTGTTTCTTCCTCAACAAGCTGCAGAGACATGCTCACCAGCAGTTTCTCCCTATTCCAATCTAGACAAAGTACCCACTGAGGCATAGGTATCCGAGTTGATGGAGGGTGGAGGGGCAGCCTTTGCCATTGCATCCTTAAAGGCATCTGTGGCTTCTTCCTCTGAGATGGTGGTGGGAAGTCTGGAGTATTCCCCTTTAACTGCAGAGATCGTGGTAATGCCACTCATATCTGCATAAAGACAAAAAGAGACAATGCCATGAACAAGGAGCAGAGGTTTAGGCCTGGCAACAGTACAAGCAGGGGCTATGAGAGATTAGCACAGCAATGGCAATGCCTCTTACTTGGTTACTAAGGCATAGATGTTTCGGCATCTCCACAGGGGGCATCTCAGTGATCGCTGGTGTGGTTGGAGATACCCTCCCTTGGAGGTGAGGAGTATACTGGCAGGCATCCTATCTCCTGTCCTGCCACTTTTGGCCTTTGTAGGGGCCCTTTGGTCTTGCAATGAGAGGTGAGAGGCATTGAGTGAGTTGAAAGTGTGTGGCTCAGCTGTAAGTGTTGATGCAGGTGGGGAGAAATGGTGAGGTGTCCCAAGTGAACGAGTAGAGGGTGCAGAGGCCATGCATGGTTTTGATGTGGGTGAGACCAAATGAGAAAAGATGTCACATGCAATAGCAGAATGAGCCTTGAAGCAGGGTGCTGCAGCAGAGAGAGTACGTATGTGTGAGGTAGCAGAGAGAAAATAGTGGCACTTACCCTGGCAGAGTAAAGAAGAGCATTGACCTTCTTGCAGCATTACTGGGCATTTTTCCAGAAGTTGGAAACCATACTGATCCATGTGGCAACCTCGAACTAGGCTGGAGGGTATGGTGTCATGCTGGTCCTGAGGAAGCAGACAGGCCTCTTCTGCATCACTCCTTCCACCAGGGCCTCCAGATTCCTGCCCACAAAACAATGGTACTAACTTCCCCTTATCTGCCATGTACAAGGCAAATGTCATGGCCTGTGCAGAGTAGCTCCAGACTATTGGAACTTAACTGGGTGCATGAAGTGGCGTGAGCACCTGGAATCCAGGGATTTCCTGACAGTGGCGAGTACTTCTGCCTGTGGTAGGTGGAAGAATTGAGCTAGCATCAGATGATCAGGACATCGTGGGACATTGTATGTAGATAAGGAGGAATGTTTATGATGATCCCCTGAGAAAACTCACTAGGGCTCAAGGAGTATGGACTATTTGAGCCGATTAACCAGCACCTATACCACGGATTGAATTTTATGCAACATTCATATTTGATAATTTGGTAAACCTGAGTTTGAAGGACCATAGATAGCTAGAATATTTCCTTTTAAGATGTCAATAAAATAATGTTGGAAGCTTTTTCAGTCTTTCTAATGGTTTTTGATGCAACTGAGACACTTGTTAGGTTAATTCAAAGTCAATTCCATTCCTCGGGGTCTGGAATTACATTTAGGCCAAACAAAAGATCTCCTTCCTGAAAGGACAATTATTGTAACGTAAAACTAGTGTAGTTGATGAATTGACAATGGTCAACATTAGAATGGGTTTTTAAGTTCAGATTTTTATTGAATTCAAATCTCACAATTTGGCATGGTGGGATTCAAACCCATGTATCTCAGAACATTGGTCTGTGGCTCTGGATTAGTCCAGCGACATATCATTATGTTTTACCTCTCCTAACATGCTTCAAGTTTTCCAGCAACAACAGATCACAAATAAACAATGGCTCAACATCTACATTATCTATGTGAATCAGCATTTGGCTTTCTTTGCCTCCTAGATAACAAACCAGAGATCAGTAACTGTACAGAAAATTTGAACACTATTGCGCTTTAATTGCATTTGTTACAATAGCAAAGGTAATGAAAAGAACGTGGCACAAATGCATTTATGTTCTGATCCATGTTTTCAAATTTGTCCACGAGTTCAGCCCTCCCAGTCTCTAATCTCCTTCAGCAATCTGCTGCAACCCTCATCGATTTCCATGTTCCTTTATTTCCCCTTGCTTATCCATTGGTGGCTGTATGTGCAACTCTCTAGACTGCAAGCTCTCAAAACTTCCTCCCTATACTTTTTTCTCCTGCAAGTAATGCCTTAAAACATCTCTCTTTAACTAAGCTTGTAGTCATTTGTCCTTATGTCTCTATGGTGTTAAATTGTTTGATATGCACTACTGTGAAGGATTATAAAAAGCTTTACCATGTTAAAGGCACTTTATAGAAAATGCAGTTATTGTACCAGAATGACATTGTGGCTCAGTTTATTCAGGTTTGCACAAATGTTCAAATTTAGCCCTTCAAAACATGTTCTTTTTATTTAGAAAAGATAGCTGTGGAGACAGTTTTAAAAACTATGAAGAGTCATTTATTCTTTCATGCTGATGGGTATTGACCTTTAATTGTCTCTGAACTTGAGTGGCTTGCTACACCACTGCAGAGGGCATTTATGAATCAACCACATCACAGAGTCTGAATAACTTGTAGGCCTGACAAGGTAAGGAAGGCAGAATTCCTTCCCTACATGTCAAGATTGATTTTCACAATAATCTATGCCTGTATCATGGTACCATTATAGAGAATACATTTATATTCCGGATTTAATCAATCCAGCTAACACTATGGGATGTGATTCGAATGGCTGATTCTCATGGAATTACTAATCCAATGCCACCTCAGGACCAACAGACACACTCATCGTTTTGTAGAAAAAAAACTGACTAATGATCCAGCATAACAAGACAAGTCATTCCAATGATGAGTATTAGGGGAAAGGAGGAGCAATTAAGGTACAATATTTTCACAACTTCGAGTAAATCTTTTTTCAAACTTCGACAAAACACTGATTAACATAGCTATCCATACTTAAAAGAAAAATTCATGTTAAAATTGGAGAAAAGAATTTCAACAAGACAAAAACACAAACTTCAATTTAACATTTATTTCGGCTACAGTTGAACAGATCTGTACTGAAAACTGTAAGCAATAATGTAAAAATGACTTTCCTGTGCCCAATCCTTCCGTCAAGTATTATACGCAGTCATAATTTTTGTTTACTTTGGATCACAGAGACTAGTAGTCACTATAAGTACGAAATAATGCAAAAAAAAAAAAGGGTAGGAAAAGTAGCCCTCTCACCCCTCAATCAAAAAATTGAAAGAAAAACCACAATCCAGAAGCAGCAATAAGGCATATACTGCACAGTTTAATTTACAAATGTTTCCAAAATACGGTACATAGTATTCTTTAATTTTTTTTTTTACACCAATAGTTTCTGCAGCAAGTTTTTATTTTGCATTGAAAAGAGCTGCATACATATAAAATTGCAATGTTAATTCTTGCAGAAAGAAAGGGAAACATCAACTAACTTTAAGAGCGTGAATCATCTGAGAGTCTTCATTATTCACTGGTCATCTCAGTAAAGGAACTTTTCAAATAGTTGTATCAAGACTGGGATTTATCTACAGGAAGAAAACAATGAAAAAAGGGGGCAATACCAATGAAAAGATTTGTCTACCTCAGATTTTTCAAATAGTGCATTGATTCTTATAGAATTGTTCACATTTTTTTTAAAAAAAGAAACTTGTCTAACCAAATTTTTACAACCCTATGTATGAAATGAGTAGCTTTTACTCATTAAGAAACTTATTGTTCTTTAAAAGGCAAGTATATGGAGAAAGCACAAGTAAGAAATGGGAAGGTACATACTGGAATTAAAACGAACACATCTGTAGCTAGATGAAAATCCTCATATTTTAGATAGCATAAAAGCACATGTGTAACTGCCAACATTCTGCAGTCCAAAATGTTGGTCCTCTTGGCTCTCTTATTTGATTATAAATCCCTGACCACCCCAAATCAAACAGAAATCTTCTAACTCATTGACTATTTTCAAGTGAAAGGAAATAAAAAAATCAAGGAATAAGGATAGTGGCAGATCCTCTAGTCTCCTTCCCACATTTTACTCCAACAAACAGTAATAACTGTGTTAGGAACAGGCTGTGTACGTAGAGCTAGAGACAAACCAACCTGTCCAAATTCTGTGCTTCATGCTCAATTTACCTCATCATTCATTAACCGCCTGCATCTGATAATCAACCACGTTCCAGCTAAAGTAAACAGTGAATCATTCATTATTGCCACTTTCAAATGATTTGGCAGTACACATGTGCTGGCAATAATTAACAGTAGGGTTCTTTGGTGCAGTTAGCCCACTTTCTTTTTTTAAAAAAAATTTAAATGAAGGATAATATGTACTAATAAGAATTCTGCTGCTACCCCTGGACAGCAGCTGTCTGCCTTGCCAACACAATCAAATATGGCTCTAAAAACAGGTGTCAATAAACAACCAATAGGTTTAAGGGGCTCAGACACTGTCTGAATCTCTGGAGCAATGCATGCAACCCTGTGCTGCAGCAGAATCCGATTGTAGGTAGAAGGCAAAGACGGGTTGTCATAAGGACAACTGCATGTTGTCAGGGCTTGCCGATGCTTTAGTTTGTCTTCCTGTTGGTGGATCGCTTGCCTTTCTTCAGTGTCAGTTTGTTCTTCACATACCCACGCTTTCTTTTAGAGGTCTAGGGCATAAAGATGGACAGTATTACAAATTTGCAGCTCTAATGTTTTTACATAGTACTGCTGATATTCAACACTAATTAACACGTTAATTAGAAAACAAAGGCCTTCTTTACATCATTTCCACCAGCAAGAGGATAAGGAAAGGGACGATGGAAGATTTACAGAAGGGTTCAGAATTTGTCCACTACTGGCTAGTTTTTCCAAGTGTCAGCAAAATGAACAAATTCATTGTTAAAGCATTTTCTGAAACATTGAAAAGTCAAATAGCCAGAGGTCCTCAACCATTAAAATACATGGTTATGCTTGGGTACGGTTACCCTTAGCACAAAAAAAAAAGTGGATGAAAATTATATGCTCAATGCTTTTAAAAAATTCTGGCTTCCTTTTACTTGATTTGCTCACAAACCAAACAATGGTCAGCCACACTAATTTAGCACAAGTTTGGCAGATCAAAGCAAGCCTTTATTATGTACAGTCTTCTGTCCTTAAGGAGCTACTATCCTACCTTTTTTGATAAATACTTCTGTTTGGGCACTATGTTAGTTACTCTTATTTTATGGTCAAGTTTTTCTCTGTTGTCCAACTTTTTCACTTTGTAAATCCTCACGAGCCAGTGCTCTGAGGTGAAGGCTTCTTCCAAATGTTTGAACTTGATATCTTTGTTTCCAATTTCAGCGTTTCTGGTGCGATCGAATCCTGGTGGTGTTCTGAAATCCAGCTGCAAAATGAGCATTCGAGATTCAAGTCTACTTTCCACATTACCAAACTATTTATCAGTTGATAGTTAGAGACAGATTCAATTTGCTCAGACTCAAATTTCTCCACCCTCAAGTATGACCCCATGTCAAACCTTCCCTTACTGTCTGCAATTCTTAAACCTTAGGCTATTCACCTCCTTTCCACCTCTCTTTTCAATCTTTTTTCAAGATCCTTCATTCTGATTTCTCTCCTAGTCATAGTACGTTCTCTGGTTGCAACTGTTCTGTGCGAAATTTCATTGTTCTTTCTGACCCTCCATGGTCTTTAAATGGTCAACCATTTTATGCTCAGTCATCACTTTTGATTCAACTCCATTATGCTGCACTCCTCCTGATTCCATCAATACATGTGTCAATGTAGCAAGCACGGCTCGTACATCGAATTCACTTCTTGTGCCCTTAGCATATCCAATGTAAACCGTGTCCTATATTTGGCCCCTTTCCGATTTCTTTTTTATTATGAATACTAGGCCTGCATTTATTGCTCATCCCTAACTGACCTTCAGAAGTCAGTGGTGAGCTGCTTTCTTGAACTGCTGCAGTTGATTTTGTGTAGATGTAACCCATAATACTGTTAGGGAGGCTGTTTCAACTTAGCCATACTGAATCAATAGCAATATATTTCCAAGATAGGATGATGTGTGGCTTGAAGGGGAACTTGCATGTGCTAATGTTCCCATGTATCTGCTGCTTGTCCTTTGATAACACATGCAGTGAATCAAATCTACTAAAGCCTGGCATCTTTGATTTGTGGGACCTCTGGTGGATGCTTAGTTGCATCATCTACTCGGCAGCTCTGGCTGAAGACTGTTATGAATCAGTCTTTCTTTTACACTCTGTGCTGAGCTCTCCTATCTTTCAGGATGGGGATATTTATGGAGCATCTTCCTCCTCCAGTGAATAGTTTACTTGTCCACCACCATTCATGACAGGATGTGGCAGGACTGTAGAACTTAGATCTGATTCGTTGGTTACGGAATCTCTCAGTACTGTTGCTTATGCGGCTCTGTTTTGTACCTTTACCAGGTTGACACCTCATTATTAGGTATGTATAAGTGTTGCTCCTGGCATGACTTCCTGCACGCTTCATTGAAACAGGCTCGATGGTAATGATAGAAAGGGCAATACTATGAGGGCTATGAGGTTGCAAATTGTTTTGAGTGCATGATTTTGCTGCTGCTGATGACCCAAAACACAGTGAGTTGGCTAGATCTGTTCATTTAGCACAGTGGAAGTGCCATACAACACAACAGATGATTTTCTCAATGTATGGACAGAACTTTGTCTCCAAGAGGACTGTGCTGTCATGAACAGATGCATTTGTGGCAGGCAGATTGATAGGGATGGGGTCAAGTATATTTTTCTCTCTTGCTGGTTCTTTCACTGCCTACTGCAGACCCAGTCTAGCATCTATGTCCTTTAGAACTTGGTCATTAATGGTGCTGCTGAGCCACTTGTGAGGACGGACATTGAAGTCCCCTACTCAGAGTACGTGCCATCTTCAGTGCTTCCTCCAAAATGGAGGAGCACTGATTCATCAGCCAGGAAGAGTGGAGGGGACATGGTCCTCAGCAGGTTTCTTTGCCTACATCTGACCTGATGCCGAGAGACTTCACGAAGTCCACAGTCATGTTGAGCTCTCCCAGGGCAACTCCAATCTGGTAATGATCAGGACTTTTATACATTTTGGTGGAGAGATAAATATTAGGCATGTCAGCTTGGATAACATCCCTGTTCTTCTTGCAAAGTGTCATGGCATCTCGTATATCCATTTAAGAGACCTTGATTTAACAACTCAACCAAGAGATGGCATCCCTGACAATGCAGCACTCCTTCAGTCCAGCACTTGAACATCAACTATGACTTTGCTGCTCAAGTCCTAGAGTTGGACTTGAAACCAGGACCTGTGACTCAGACTTCAGAGAGTGTTACCAACTGACACTGAATGATCAACATTACCAAGTTACCAGACTAAATGCCCCATTTTTGCTTTAAAAGTGTCATGTCATTTTTTTGCCAACCTGAACAAGCAAACATTCAGAGCTTCAGTTTCATGTCAGCCCAGATTATATGTTTTAAGTTTCTTTAAGGAGATAACCTTCAAATTGGTGCCTCAGAGGCAAGAGTGCTAACAAGCTAAATGGGCACAAAGTGAGGGAATGGCACATGCCACAGGGAAAGGAATGATTAAAAAGGATCAATGCTAAGAGATTGGCATAAACAGTTTTTTTGTGTTGTAGCCATTACACAATTAAAATTTGAATCATCACACCATCTTTTGCAAATATTGGGTGGTACAGTACAGTAGACCTTCACTTCAAAGATCACTGTTCAAATCAGCACAGCAGGATTCATGGAAGTCTGCTCCATTGGCAGATTTATAAAAATTTCTACACGGTATGTGCTTTCATAGACCTAGTCTATTTTCTCAATGGCAAAAAGGCAAACAATATAGTTGACAGGTTGGCACAGTGACAGCTATACTGAGGCCACAGGATGGCCAATGAGACCTCTTAAACAACAGGGCATGATCCTTTGAGATAGAAAACAGACATCAATGGGACAAAACAGAAAAAACTTCATTTTGCACCTCACTGCTCTATACTTGGTTTAAGAGTGTATGATACTGATACTGCCACTTTGAAGCAATCTTCTATGCCTTGGCAACTTTACCTCTCAACTAGAAGGGCACCAGATAATGCATGCAAGACCTCCGAAAAAACAGAGCTGATCCTTACTATTATGAAACTTAGAAACCTTGAAGTCATCAGGTGAGTTTCAGGGGATTAGTTCTTGTACGCCAAGAGGTAAAAAGGGGTCTTTTACACTAGATAATGGCAAATACACTCAAGAGGATGGATTAACGTAAGAGAAATATTCAATGTATTAAGATTAATAAGTAATGATAACTAATTATGTTCACTTACCTGCATCTCTCCAAATCTGTAGTAGGACATCTTGTACATGAGACAGTTTAGTAAAGTTGGAGAGCCAGCCTTGCTCACAAGGAATTCTCCTTGCGGCGTGAAGTAGTCACTTTCCTAGAATTTGCACAAAAAAAAAAGGTTTAGTTAGCACAGGCAGTACAAATACGATGTTAAAATCCTTGAATAAACACCTGATAAGTTTATAATAAAAACTTACTCGGATGTCCTTTGGATGCTCGCCTTCTGCTATCCTGACCATCCAAAGGAACTTGTTGATATCATCACCAGAATATCCAATCACACCACCAAAGATGATAAGCACATAGTCCACATCTAGACTTCGCATTATCTGGTAGGCTGCGCTCTCATTCGAAGACATTGCTTTTCCGACCTGAAGGTTACATACAATCAAAATTACAGAATTACTTTGAAAAAAAACAACGCACGACTAAACATTAAATCAAACAAACCAAAAGGTAAAGGTCCAAATCTTCCAAGGGGCAGCACTCAACAGCTACTTTAGAAGATGCAGAAAAATCCTCCACTGATGACCTTTCTTGCGGTGTTGGGGCACTCTTTTAGTGTCACAAACTGCTGTATTCTGCTAAGTGTTCATTGATAAACACTGACAAGCTTCAATGCATTTAAACAGCTCTGCAGTGTATTAGTCAATGGGCAAATGAGTGGGTGGGTAGAATGGCAGCGGGCAGAGGAGAGGTTGGTCGGTGGGCTCAGTTGGGGTAAGTGTCAGAGTTGGTGTGGTTGGGGGTGGGTGTGCAATTTGGAGTGAAGGGAGTTGGATGGCAAGCTGTGTCATTACTCAAACATCAGTCTAGGATTTAATAAACATATTCTGCTTAATTATCTAGATAAGGAGGTGGAAACTCCTAGGTTATAGTAGGGTTTTTCAGAGAATCCCAGGGAACAGGAGAATATCCACAAGTTTGAACTTCCCCGGTAACTCTGAAGGGGTTATTACATCTGGACTTCAGTGGGTCCCAATAGAGATCGCTGGTCATACGTCTGGTATCCGACTATCTAAGAGACCAAAAGATGTAGACCAACACTTGAATTTTCAGTTTATGTCACTTACATCTCATCTCCACAATGAATGTACTGTTTACTCCACCTCTAGTAATTCTAATCTGCAATTCATTGCTAAGCAATGAGAAAGAGAAGCCCAGTGACACTCTGCCCTGTATAAGTGACAGCATAAGTAATGGAAGATTGTTATAATGTAGAAAGTGTAACATTATCCACTTTGATAACATTTTTTTCTCTTTTAAAAGATGAGGATCCATGTATTGAATCATGGAAAGTGAACTCGTAGGTGAAGTATGCATCTAAGTAACTAAATGCTATGTCAGATTTCAACGCAGGGGAATTTGGACTAACAGAGTGAGAATATCTTCCTTTATGCCAGAAGTTAGTGGAAATAATTTGGCTTCCTTACCCAACAATATGCAACAAAGGTTCAATAGATTAATTCCTGGATGGCAGGCCTGTCTGATGAGGAAATTTGAGTAGAAAGGATCTATATTTACTGCACTTTAATAGAATGAGAGGTGATCTAATTAAAATATAAGACTAAGCAGGCCTGAAAAGTATATGCTAAGAGGTTATTTGTACTGCTGAAAGAGGCTAGAACTAAAGGTCACGGTCTCAGAATATAGGGTTCAAGTTGGCCACTTCATTTGGAGGTTTGCAAGTCTTCGGAATGCGGTACTCCTGAGGGCTACGGAAGTTCAATTCTTGAGTTTATTCAAAACTGGAAATCAATAGACACTTGGGATTTAAGACATAGTGAGATTGCGTGGAAAGGTAGAGTTATACTAGTTCAACCATGATCTTATCAAATTGTGGAGAATACTCGAAGAGCCAGATGGTCTAATCCTGATCCTGTTTTCTATTTTATGACATACGAATATAGAAGCATGAAGCGCTCATTTAGCCTCTCAAGTTTGCTCTTCAACTCAGATTATGGTTGATCTCATTATGGCCACAACTCTACTTATCTACTCTACTGCATGTTAGTCAAGATCTAGCTGCATCTGCTTTAAAGATATTCAATGCTGCTGCCTCCACCTCTTTCTGGTGAGCAGAGATTTACTGACTCACTAACCTCAGAAGATTTTTGCTCATCTCCATCATAAATGGGAATCTCCTAGTTCTAATCTCTCCAGAAGGAGACATCCTTTCAGCATCCAACATGCTACATCTCCTCAATATCTTACCTGTTTCAATAAATACATTTTTCTACTCCGATGGTACAGACCCAACTTGTTCTACATTTTCTAGGATAACCCTTTCATCCCAGGATGAAGTTGAGTGAATGTTCTCCAAACTATTTCTAATGTAATGACGTTCTTTCTTAAATAAAGAAACCAAAGCTGGACTCTAATACTCTAGATCTTAGTCTCAAAAACCCTATACAACTGTAGCAAGACATGTTTTTATATTCTATTCTCCATACAATAAATGACAACATTCCATTTGCCTTCCTAATGATTTGCTGTACCTGCACAATAACTTTTTACGATGCTCGTACCAGACGCCCAGATTCCTTTGTATTGCAGAGTTCTGCAATCGCTTCCCATTTAAATAATATGTAACTCCTTTATTCTTCTTGCCAAAATGGATAAATTCACAATTTTCCACATTATATTCCATCCTCCAAACTTTTGCCCATTCATTTAAACCAACTTTGTAGACTGATATTCCCTTTACAACTTAATTTCCTAACTTTGCATCATCAGCAAACTTAGCAACCTTAGATTTAGTCCTGTCATCCAAGTCATTAATATTGATTGTAAATAATCAAAGCCTTAAAAGTAATCTCATTGATCTACTAAATACATCATTTGTTCATCTATGCCTTTCAATTTCACACTAACTAATCAATGCTCAATCCACTCAATCAAATTACTCCTTACACCAAGCTATTATCTTGTAAGAAAACTGAAACCACAGCTTAATACCAAAAGAACAATCTTCAAATTCTGATTAGTCATGGGGATGGTGCCAGATGAATTGAGGATTCCAATGTTAACACCCCTGTTTGAAAGTGGAAAGAGGATAAAGCTGACAATTACAATCTAGTCAATCTGACAGTGGTGGGGAAATGTTTAGGAATAATGTGGGACAGTCATAGGTGGGCTATACATGAAAGCCAGCACAGACTTCTGAAGGCAAATTGTGATTGACATATGTCATTTAAGTTCTTTGATGAAATAACAGGGTTAATGTTATGTGTATGAACTTTTGAAAGGCATTTGATTAATATACATAATAAACTGGTTAGCACAGTTGATGAGAATGGGATGAAAGGGGCAGCAGTTACATGAGACTGGATGAGGAACTGAAGTAGACAGTTATCATTTGTTTTTCCAGAGAACAAGGAGTCTACACTAATATTCACCAGCATCAGTAATGGGTCCACTGCTCTTTTCACTTAAGTCTGGACCTTAGCCATAATCTAAAAATCTGAAAAGGGCATGAAACTTGGAAATGTAACAAGGAAAACAGTAACAGACTGCAGGTTGATAGAGACTGGTGACATAGACAAATAGCAAGGTAGATTTTATAGGGTGCTCACCTTTCAATATTTTTCCCCACCTTTAGACTACATTCAGCTTCAAAAAACAGGACAGGTTTAGACTAATATTAAAGCAGAAGTGTTGACACCAGGTTGTACATGAGGCACCACAATTTGATGAACCAGTTATTTCAGATAATTCTCGTTCACCTATCTGCTTAAAGCCTTTAGAGTAACACCATCTACACAAAATAACAAAAAGCCCCAGGGGCTTGGGAGATGAAACTGTGTCTCTGGTCTGCTTTGCAAAATTGGTTACCAGCTGATTAATAGGAGATATACCTCTATTTTTAAACTGCAACACAGAATCAAACTGTCATTGTTCAGCTTGCTTACCAGTGCAATATGGCTGTTGTTCCATGTATTATTATCTACCAGAGTTGTCCGATTAGCCATTCCAGCAATCTGATAACCATAATCCCACCAAGACATCACTCGAACATGTTCATCTGTATTTTGTCGCAACCAATAATATGCTTCACGGAAATCATCAAGGATATTACGTGTCCTTTTTTTAAAAAAGGAGTTAAAATGGTTAAAATCAAATTTACTTCATTTTGGTCTTTCATGTGACAAGGACTTCACTGGCAAGGTCAGCATTTGTTGGCCCTCTCTAACTGTCCTGGAGAAAGTGGTGATGAGTCACCTTCTTGAACTGTTGCAATCCATGAGGGACAGGTACACTCTCAGTGCTATTATGAAGGTTAGCGTTTGTTGCCTGACCCTAGTTGTCAAATATCAACCTCCATGCTGTGGGTCTGAAGTAACAGGTTGGCCAGACCAGGTAAGGATGTCAGATTTCCTAAAGGACATTCAGGAACCTGTTTTGTTATGGCAATTCACAGTGGTCACATGGTCAGCTTTATTTATTAATTTATAATTTTAAAAAAACAATGAATACAATCTTCACAATCTATAACAGCAGGATTTGAAATCGTATCTGTGGGGTTCTGGATTACTAGTCTATTATGATAACTACAGTACTGCATCTACCCATGTTTTAGCCCTATCTTTGCACTGATGTGCTGGACTCCCCCATTGTTGAGGATCAGAATATTCATGGAGCCTCCTTATGTTGTTGGTTGTTTAATTGTCCAATGACATTCATAAATGAGGTGGGGCTGCAGAAATTTAATCTGGTCTGAATTAGATTTGAAGTGTGGATACAGAAAATCTCTCAAAATGGTCAAGGATGTCAACTATTCAACACCTTGCAGCTTTTTTTTTTACATTTACTCTATAGTAAAAAGGGTTTGACTAACAGTTCACTAGAGATCTGAACACAAATTAGAAACTATATTTTAACGATAGGAGATGCATAGTAGAAGAGGGATTAGCAAATGTCTTAAATTTCGAAAGTTCCCATTTTACATTGGATTGGCTGTAAAACATCAATGTGGATTGGTTGATGAAAGGTCATTGCCCTGGAATGTCAGTTCTTTTTCTCTCCACACAATGCTGCCTAACCAGTTAAGTATTTCCTTCAATGTCTGTTTATATCTCGGATTATCTTTTTTTAACCACACATTTTATCATTCGTTACTTCATCTTCCTAGGTGAAGACTAAAAAGGCATTTTAAAAATAAATAAAAAATTAAATAAATTGACTGCAGGAAATACCAAAAATCACTTCTGGATCTGTTTTAGAACAATTGCATGATTATTAATGATTGATTGCTATTAGTCAGCAACTCTGTAATGACCATATCATTTGATTACAAGGATGGTAGGAGGCAAATTAAATGGACTTGATCTTTCTTCATCAATTCCTGTATCCCAATTTCACTTCGATTGTAAAACCATAAGAACCAATAAAAGTTACTCACAACCTTCTGACCTTTCAAATAAATAGCTTTGGTAAATCATTCCAAGTGCTGCACAAAGTTAAGCAAAAGGAGTGCTTTTCCTATCCTTTTCAGCTTGTATAGTCAAGCGAAGTATTGTTACTATGCAAATGTTATGGCAGATCAAAGATCTGTTTAATAGTTTCAGCTCAATTAATTTGTTCACCAGTGCAAGGCAAGACAGTGCCAGGATCAAGATCAACAAGATCAAGTACAGTACAGCCCACACAGAAGCAAAGATAATCCTCCTCTACTCTATCAATAGCTCACCTACTATAACAATGTGAATTCATTGTTTTTGAATTTGCAACATGACTGCTAATAGCAATACTACAACCTCTTCTCACTTTCTCAGTCTTGATCTCAAACTTAAAGAGCAGCACTGGTGAAAAAGCAACTTTAAAAAAATTAGTCAGTCATGGACAACTCAAGGCCAGTAACATTGTCACTGCTAAAGAAACAGGACAATAGTTAAACAGTAGGACTTAGGTTTTCGAAGTCTCTCAACCCAAGGAACTCTTAATATCTTTAACCGTAGCTGCCCTTACCCTCCTAGACACACCATGCCCTTTGTAAATTCATTATCTACATTTGTGTGAGTATTTAATCAGCTATTTTTCAGGGTAATAGGTAATAAAACTCACTTTCACTCAAGAAAACGTTGGAATTAGCTTTCTTTCATTTTTGATCAGGTTAATTAAGTTTAATTGAAGTGTGACAGCTGTATGTTAAAGAAAGGGGATTTTTAAAAAAGCTAGCCACGACACCCTCCTCATTTGATTATAATACAACTATGTGCAAATTGATGTGGGATAGGATGTGGACAACTGAGCTTTGGATCAGCTAAAGTTTATAATGCAGAGAAGTGCAGTCAAATCTCGAGCATTCTAGGGCATACTTGAGAATTTCTGCTGGGATGAGGCAATGTTATATGTAAAAGTGAGCAGTTTGTTTGGAAAGTGATACAGGGTTGGAAGATTAACTCAGGGTTGAATAGAGTAACTGAGGTTGTGGACAAACTTATTCAACCAGAGAAAGTTATTCAACCAGAGAAAGTTATTCAACCA